TCTGAACTATTTTACTGTAGCTTATGTTCTTGTATCAGCCTGTAGCATGCTTAACAACGTATGTATCGATTAGTAGAAGGTAAAAATAATATTGACAAAACTAGCTCGATACAGTTAGACAAGAGTCACACCTGCATTAGCAATCAGACACTGAGCTGACTCTCCCAGAAGAGAGCCAGGAATCACTATTTCCCCTGGCCATTATTAGCCTTGGAATAAAATAAAGATGATAATAAAACCCCTTCTCCCCTTATTGGAAAAAGCTGCCTATCAGTCTGAAGAGCACAGCTCTGTGGGACTTTCCGTCAGGCCTCGGAGAGCTTTCCAGTGGATGAACTCCCAGAGCCTGGTCTGGGGGCAAGCACTGACTGGTCAAGAGCCTCGGTCAAGCCTGGGATCCCCAACCATCCCCATGACGTGGAATTCTTCACTGTCCCTTACCCAAGAGTTCAAACTTCCATGACTGCAAACCCCCAAACTGCACGGGCACTGCTGGCTGGCAGCAGGGAGAGGCAGGAAGACTCCAGCTCCTCCTGGGAACGCCTCCATGCTCGAGAGCTGCCTGCAGCATGTACTCTCACTGCAGTCCCAGCGCCCAAGCAGGCAACTCCAGTTAGTTAGCCCAGGCTGACAGCAATGCCCTTCAATCAGACACTGCCGACTGACACTCCAACAAGGGGAAGCCACTTACTGGTAACTAGAAGTTAGCAGCAGCTGGAGATTAAGGCATGCTGTGTACGCGCATGCACACGCACACAACTTTCATCAGGCACTAAAATGATGGAGACTTTTTTTGCCTGAGCAATACCTGTTTGCAGTGTTCTTACTGCAGGACTCTTCCCACCTTTGCTTGAACATAGCCCAAAAGGAGAAGCCAACTCTACTCCTTCCCATTCTTCTAAACATTCAAATACCATAAGAAATAAAAAAAGGAACTCATGGTAAGGAGAGACATTTCCCTAAAGACAACTTGCCTGTAAGACTTCCCATCACTGGTGTCCTGGTTTCAGCTGGGACAGAGTTAATTTTCTTCCTAGTAGCAGGCACAGTGCTGTGTTTTGGATTTAGTAGGAGAAGAATGCTGATAACGCACTGATGTTTTAGTTGTTGCTAAGTACTGCTTATGCCAGTGGAGGACTTTTTCAGCTTCCCATGCTCTGCCAGGTGCACAAGAAACTGGGAGGGGGCACAGCCAGAATAGTTGATCCAAACCAACCAAAGGGCTATTCCATACCATATGACATCATGCTCAGTATATACACTGGGGGGGGTTGGCCAGGGAGCAGCAATCGCTGCTCGGGAACTGTCTGGGTATCAGTCTGTGGGTGGTGAGCAATTGCATTGTGCATCACTTGCTTTGTCTATTATTATCATTATTATCATTACTATATTGTTATTATTACCATTACTACTTTACTTTATTTCAATTATTAAACTGTTCTTATCTCAACCCAGGAGTGTTTCTCACTCTTACCCCTCCGATTCTTTCCTCCATCCCATCGAGGTAGGGGGAATGAGCGAGCGGCTGCATGGTGCTTGGTTGCTGGCTGGGGCTAAACCATGACAACTGGTAAGCAACCTTCCTGTGTGCCTGTCCCCATGCCTTTTCGCTGAGGATATGTTGAAGCAGCACCATACAACCTGAACCAGTTATCCAGAGACAGCAGACAGTCAGATGGTGACGCATTAGATACCTACACAGAGGCATGGTTGGCAGGTTCCCTGGCTGTCGTCACTCCTTGAGCACCTGGAAGCATTCATGCCTGGAAGCTTTCCGGCAGAAGGCAAGCCTTGATAATAACTGCATCCAGTGTTGTTCCCATCAAGTCTCCAACCTTCTCCATGCAGGGTCAAGTAGGACTCCGAGACACTCACCATAAGGAGCTGAGGAACTGAACAGCTAATGGTAGAGAAGTGGATGCCTCCCTAAGAATGTTTTCCTTTAATGCCAGTTAAGACATGAAGAGCACCATCCCATTCCCACTAAGATGCCGGATTTGGCTCACCAAAAGCACAGCAGACTGCAATACGAAAATACGAAGATCAGAAGACCCATAGAAGCCCCAAAAAGATCAACCCAGTATCTCTTGCTGTTATCAGAAATAGCCTCCCTATCCTGGTCATACACAAAAACATTCAACTGTTGGGTTAGTTTAAAGGCCTGCTCCTCTTTTGCTTCTTAGTAAATGAAAGTTGCTGTAAACCCACTTTCTCCGTACAGTAGATGTCTTACTTTAGAAAAACTTTCAATATGATTTCAGACAACATCCTCATAAGCAATTTGGGGAGATGCAGACCACTCTGCAAGATGGACAGAAACCTGGCTGGATTTTCAGGCTCAGAGGGCAGCAGTGAACAGTTGGACACCAACCAGTTACAAGTGGCATTCCCCAGGGGCTCATATTCAAGCCAAAACTGTTAATACTGTCATATTTAACTCAACAATCAATAATCTCAACAGTGGGATGGAAATACAGAGCCACTAGTTCTTGCCAAAGGCAATTCCTAGAAAGGAGCGGAGAAGGGGAGTCCAGGGCAGAAGGGAGGCAGACCACATACTCAGTTGGATCATAACAGGACTCCACTGTGAAGAGATTTGAGATGCAATTCCCCTCATGCAATTTAATCTTCCAGAAAGGAAAATAGCTGGGATTTTGTGCTGAAGGTACTTTCACAGTAAGTCAAGCATCCAGCTTCTCCTCTATGCATTCAGGTCATAGAGAAAACGATCAGAGTGATGGTGATGTAGCTTCCAAACAAAGCACCAAGTCATTTCACATAAAATAAAATGCACTTAAATGAGATGCCAGGGCTGGAGCTTGAGAACTGGTAAGGCTTCACATCAAAAGTAAAAGAACAGAAGGTCTATGTGGCCACACTTGTAGAGTAAGAAAGAGAGCCTCCTGTAGCAGACTGAGGAGAGTACAAAGTGTTATCTTGAAGTACGAACAGAGTAAAAAACATTACTGATGTGAACCTCAACCTTCATCCCTTTATAAAATGTAACTTACAAGCCTTTAAAAAGATGATTAGACTTTTTGGTAGAGGTCAAGAAAGGTTTAGCTGACTGAAGCAAATGACACTAATAATATAATCATCTTATATTTTGAGCCGGGGAATTGCAGATGTTGCATATCCAGGTATTTCTGTTAGTTTGTGATTAACAAGGTGACACACTTGAAGGAACAAGCTCAGCAAAATTCTAAAAACAACGTTTAAAAAGTACTTATTTAATGTCAACACCAAAATCATTTACTTGATGCTTTCAGCTTTGTTTTGTTTTCTGCTGTGATGATTTCTGGTTTGGGGATTTTGTAGTTTTTTGCTGTTGTTTTTTTCTCCCCCCAAACACATAATACATTGCAGATTGTACATATAATCCGCAAATATTAAAGTTATAGCCAATTTATTACAGATATTATTTCCCTGATACTGAAGCAATGTTATATATAAAAATATTTCTACATTAACATAAATACATGCAAACCAAATCAGAAAATAGCAGTCTTGAGTAAAGAATGACTAAACTTGCAAAAAATTATTAACTGTGTACTTTGCAATGATTTGTGGTCATAATTATACCAACCTATTCAACCTTGCAGTCTCCAACTCTGATCCCCCCCCCAAAATCCTTCTTGCCGTCAATATTTTGCTTTGCACAGAGAAATCCGTCAGTATCATCAACTAGCTTTTTAATATTACGCTTACAGGAAAAGAGAGTTTTTCAGTGCAGTTACACATTATTTGAAACTGTGGCACACGGCTTAAGAAGCAAGACTCTCTGCAAAGGAATAGTAACATCACCAAAAGTGTGATTTTCGAGTACCATGCACAGAAGATTGTTGATATAGCAACCAGCTTAGGTAGGGGAAGGCAGAGATGAAGCATTAATGTAATTTTTTTCTGCAACTTCTGCATGTCTCTCTGCAAAAAGTGACAGCAATATATAAATGATTAGAACTATGACAGGTAGTAGAGACAAGAGTAGTTTGTACTGTTTTTAAGAAAAAAAAAAATCCACATTGGCCAAGTTTCTTTATTTCATATTTCACATCTTCACTCAATACTGTTGCTGAATGTTTGAAAAATTGTCCTGTACACCGTGAATATACAAAATTTATCTGAAGCATTAAATCTGTAAAAATAGAAACAATTCAGTCAGACCAAGTGTAACTGAAGACATGGCAGACAGCAAAGGGATTGCTTATCTGGGCTGAAGACGTAGTCAGAAAGTAAGACTGAACTAAAAGAACCACAGATTATTAAGGAAACAGAACTATGTAAATTAGGATTTTACTAATTTGTCAGAAGATAGGAGAGATAAAGGTAATGGATTTTATTTTAAAACAATAAGCACAATGTCACTTTTTAGAGACACCTCAGCGGTCTAATTACATACAGCTAGAAAACTCACTGCCTTCAGGCACCCTCATATCAAGTGCAAATCTGCGCAGTTATAGAATATATTTATAAAATATACTATATGCAAACATCTTTACAGAGCTTTAAATCAAGCCAAAAAGTAAATATACTTGATGGGACAACAGAAAAAAAAAAAATGAATCGACGCAAAAACGTGGGCAGTGTGATTGTGGCCCTTCAAAGCCAGAGGAAACCATTCAGTTGGTCTGCAACAAAAAGAAGGTGGGATTTGCACCTTAAAAGTCGACTGTTAACAAAACGAAGAAAATATCCCCTGTGCTTCTGCAAATTAACATAAAATTAGCTTCCGTGACATTTTACGTATTGTCATTATCTTAAAATATCTTCTAAAGCACAATGTCAACCCTTGAATACCAATAATCAATCACACAACTGAAAGTGAAAGGGTTTCCCAGCTAAATTCAAATTACAAACTACAGAATTCTAAGGAGTGCAATGCTCTGGAAAAAGCTTTAAATTAAATTATTTTACTTGTAAAGCTAGTGTTAGGTTTTTTTTAGTTAAAAAACAACTGGAAGCAAGAAAGCTGCAAGAGTACAAATGATAAAATTGTTTTAGATACACCAAGTGAAAGAGTGAATTATCCACTGATGCAGACAGAAACATCCATTTGCTACATTGTTCGCTTCCTTACTTCATTCCATTGCATGTACACACAGCTTAAGTATTAAAATGCAGAATAATAAATAAAACGGCTCAGATTACTAGCAAGGGGCAAAACACAATCCGTAATTGTGCTCTATCTAGTTTCTGTTTCAGCAGTCTTTTTCTCTTGCAGTTTATAAGAAAAATCATAGTCAGACTTCCAAAAAGAGTCATTCTTTTTTTATCAGAAACTCAAGTTCATTTGCCCAGGTTTATAACCCAAGACATTTCTGTGAAGGAAGCACAGTGCAAATTATAGGACTGATAAAACTTGCTTACATAGAAAGAAGTTTACTTGAGTAATGTTAACTGGTATCTTTACGAAATACATTGTAAAACAAAGATTAAATAACAAGACTGGGTTTGGTTTGGTTTTTTTTTCCCCCCTCAGACTTTTTTTCCTAATCTCTCCTTTGAAAAGCTTACTGAGTTAAAAAAATCTTAATAAAGTTCCAGTCTTCAGCAGGTAATCATTATAAATGCTGCCAATCAATGCCAACTAGTGTTTGATTTGCTTCTTGTGCATGTGCAATTTCCTCTGTGATACTGTGCTGCTGCCAGAGTTTTTGAATCTTTTTAAATCGTTCTTTGCACAGATGTAAGGGATTCCCACGTCTGAAAAGGAGATAATACGTATCAGGAACAATTAAACACTGCAATTAAGCACAAACACTCAGGTGCGACATAATTAAATATTAGATAACCCTTTAAAATATTAAAATATTTAGATAATCCTTTAACATTATTATCTTGTCAGAGAAATCAACAGATATTTTGGTTAGTAAACTGGAGTGCTACCTTGCCTGGTCTCCCACCCTTACTGCTCAACAGTTCCCTCCAGCCTTTGGGAATCTCATGCACAGTCCACCAGAGTCTGAATGTAGGTTTTCAGCAATCTTTCCATGCTGAACCAGCTCATATTCTATGATTTTGACCAGTTTCAGAAGTAGCAAGCATTAGCAATACTGAGTCCCCAAACTATTCTCACAGGAAGCAAAGATAGAAGTTAAGACAAAGAATTATCACATTAAATGAAATCACCTCATAGTATTCTCACTTGGTATTAAATTAACACAGATTATACAAATGAATGCACTATATACAAGTAAAATTTTCAGCCTTAGCTTCTAGGCAACTTCACAGATGCTAAAAAGATTTAAGTTTTTACACCTCAAGACACCGTTTATAACCTGAGAAAGATCTTCCATTAAATATTTTTAACCTAAAAACACATAGTAGCATTAAAATGTTTGAAGATATTAGATGCAACAGCAATGTCAAAATATAATACTACCTATATAATTAAAATAAAAAGGTAACATAGAAAGTGTATTTTACAAACCAGGTAATTTTAGAATTCCTGTCTTTAAAAGATCTATTTTTAAGTATTTACCTGAGTCCCTGGTCCGTCTCTCCATAGTCATCGAGATAAGGAGGAGGATAAAAGCAGCCCTTTGTTTTTCCAGCTAAAAATAGCACCTGACATTCTCGTACTCTAGAGACACACACAGAGAAGATTTTGAGTATTGAGTTTTAGGTGGTTTCTCATATTTTCATACACACTGCTTTTCCAATTCTCCCCTATTTTCATTCTGTATTATCTGCATGTACAGATTTTTAAAGGTACTTTTGTTTTTTAAAACTAAAGATCATATTCTCTTCCTCAGTAGCAGTTAAAAATAATGTAGTTTCATGTCATATTATTTGCAGACTGTGTAAAATACTTGACATAACCACAACAAGAACATAAAACAATTTCACTTCTCACTGATCTTTGCCAAAGCGAAAGTAGACATTATCTAACCTTTCCTTGTATGCAGGAAGACAACAAAAATGAATTTTCATGTTTTCAACAGCAACAACAGTAACAAAATCAAGGTATTTGCCTTCATTGTTTTGTAATAGGTGAGTGGAAATAAACACACAGAGAAAACAAATCCACTTTAAAATGAAATTCAAATTTTGTATGATACCTTATCTTCAAGGAAACAAACTCTAAACCTTATACCAAAGTATAAGGAAGATGAATACACCCTAGTTTTTAGATAACTGTCTTATTAACAAACCACTGCCTTTACAAACCACCCCTACAATCACATTTGTAGAACTATTCATTTCATGTCCACACATACCATCTAACCGAGCAATGTAAGTAGAGGGGTTCAGTTCCTTACCTAAGGAATATGCCCACTCCCGAACCACAAGTGTATGTATGTGCAGTACAGGCTCCAACATCTTCTCCTTCTAATTCAGTCTGACAACAGTAACTCTGAGAACATAGCATGGTCCCACACACAAGGCACAATGTTGGGGCTCTGCTTTTATCACCACCTGATTTTGGACACCTTTTGTTAAGAAAAAAAAAAATCCACTGTATGTATTAACTCTAGATGGTAAAAAGATTCAAAAGTACTTTTGAACATCTATGCAGTTAACAGTCATACAGATCCCTGCAATTTCTATTGCACTGAAATACACAGCGGTTTTGCTGGAAGTTATGACAATCGATACATGCCATTAACTTTATGATTCTACAAACACCTTTCTGAGGCTTTCAGGTTAGAGGTTTCTCAGTTCATCAAAGGAGCAGAAGACTTTAGAGGTCCTCACTATAATTGTATACAACTTACGAGAAATTGGATGCTTGGTTAATGAGGCAGCTGTAGTCGTCCGGAAGGTCAATTAATTTGTTGGATTCTCTTGCATAGCTAGAACAAAGCAATCGAATTAACCACTCGTATTTCAACGACTAATAGACAGCGATTTCAAACTCATTCATGTTTTCCTGACTCATCTAAACAGCATCTGTGAATAATTAAATTTTTAAAGTTTTCTTCTTCTCTGCCATTCATACAGTAAAATGGCAGCACATAAAAAAGGAACCCCCAATATCTCTCAGCTAGACCACCTCCAGTTTTCTCAGTTACATTTTTAATGAATTTGAAAAAAACACACAGGCAGAAAGTCAGGAAAATACATCTTGTATCCACGCTTTTAGCAAAGCCTCATGATGACGTCACTAGAGGTTTAATTGAATATTTGTTCTGCTCCCTTACCAGTTTGCTTTGTATTTTCCTTTTGTCACTAATATTGAATGGAAACTAGTCTGACACTCAAGTTCAGACAACTTGTATCCTAAAGAGAATGAAATATTCATGCAATGAAAAGAACCTATTTAATACCACATAATTTTATCTTTAGAAATAACAGTTAAAAGTTCTTTTTTTTTTGCAGATGCTATACACTAAGTTTTAATAATCTTTAACTCTGGGAACAATACAAATTAGACTGAAATGTAAATACAGGTTTGCAACAGAAGCAATGTACAAGAACATGCTGAGAGGAAAAAAAAAACCCCACTGTCAAATTAGACATAATCTTGGGAAGAGCAGTTAAGAATCAGTCAAAGGAACACATGGAAAAAAATCTCAACGATCACACAACAGGAAATTGATTATGCAATCAGAGTACTCTTACTGTATAAGATATTCTGTTAATTGCTTGGTGTTTAACAGATGAAGTGATTAATTTTTATTTTTGTCACTTATTGTATGTACAACATTGAAAGATTGACTTTATGTATTTAGCAGAGGAGAGTATAAAATGCAGGGATATATATTTTAATGACAGCACTGTGAACCTCATATTAATTTATAATTCTTTGGATAATTGATAACCACTATTTTTACCAAGCCTTCTAAAGAAAAACACCCCAAATGCTTTTCTACACTCACTAAGCATTAAATGTGTTCTGAATTCAAAATAATTGCTTAGCAAGTAGAAATGTATGAAAAGCAATTTTATTTTTAGCAACTGACTCTGTTGATTTCACTGAAGAATTCGGATTCTTTTAAAAAGCTCTTCAATGCCTGGTATTTTTAAACAAAGGTTATGTATGTATTTTAGCAACAGCATACCTTTTGAATCAGAAGGTACAAATCTACTACAGGATACACAAGAAGAAATGTTATGGCCTCTGATTACTGCAGATCAGTCTAAATAAAACTGTAATATTTAACTTTGCCTGTAAAATCTATTGCTTTAAGCAGTATTTCACTTTTCTTACAAAATTCCAAAAATCTCTGCTTATTCCCCAATATCTTTGTCATTCAATAAAGCAGAACTGACACTATGTTATTATTATAAACACCCTTTAGAAAAAATATTCAGAGAAAACTGCAACATTAAAGTTTCTCCCATCTCTGCTTAAAATTTCTCCATGCTTACCTGATAGCATGTCTCTTGCCTTCAAGATAGCTTTTTACTTCATTGTTACTACACCAACTACAAGAAAGAAAAAAAATTGGCTTTTACCTTCAATGGATGATACTTTCCAAAAACAAGTTAGAATTCCAAAGTACATCTACTCGGTAATCTCTACAACCAAAACCATTTCTTTGAAAACACTTCTTTCACAAATGCTTTTCAAAGTCTACTATTCATTTCCATATATGCACTCCTGGGAGAATACCTGTATTACCATCTTGTGCAGAATACATTATTATATTTAAGATAAGCACAAAAACACAACTTACCTTTCTATTAACGTGTTCAGAATCTCACTATTTTCTTGAAAAAGGCAAGTGAGGTTGTTTGGCAAGGAAAGATAGCTACATAAGTGTTCAAACTGGTTAGTTCCATTTACTGGGGAAAAAAAAAAAAAGTATAGTTCTCATAACTGCATTTTTTTAAATGACATTAACTACAATATATGAAATACAGCCCTAAATGGGACATCAGTTTGTTTTTTTTTTTTTTAAACCTGTATTCCCCCCCACCCAAAACATGGTCTGAAGTATGAAGGTACTAATAAAGGCACCAGACAGCTATGTTGGAGAACTGCCAGTAATGAGAAGCAAAACTTTCCCCAAACCTCCTCTCTAAGCATGTTTCAAGCCTGGACATCTAAGAACCACAACAGAGCGCTCAATGGTCTTTACAACTTAGTATGTCTTCGTTTTAATGTCATCCATTAAATGGCTACTTCGTGCTCCTTGCAGTCTGTGACACAAAGTGAGGCAGGTGGTCTGTGACAGTATAGCAGTGAAGTATACCATAGCCTCAGAAATACAGAAATTCCAAATGCCTGCAATGCTAAACTCTTCAAAAATATTATGTATGACACAACTATTACATTGCCATATTCACGATTCTAGTCTATTGGTTTGAGTCCCTGGGCCTCTGCTCTCCCAACTTTCAGGACAAAGAGTACCAGTACCTCTTCCGTGGCATGGGCTCTTTTGCTCCTGAATGAAGGAGCGAAGAAAATTAAAATGAAAGCTGTGCTCACTTCCCTCTCACAGCCAAACAACTCCCGTTTTGCAACCCTCGATAAAATAGTAGAGAAGAGCAATACAGGCCAGCTGGGGGATCAGTGGGTCCTGGGGCAGGGAAGTGGGCAGGGAAGGCAAAAAGTACTACAGCCACCATCAGGACATCCCTCAGTGGTGGGGACCTGCAGGGCCATCCAACCACCTGGGACTTGAGGACTGTAACAAAGTGAAGCAAAGCCTTCCTCTTCCCCTCTCCTACAACCAACTCTCTAAAGGCCCATGGACCTACTGCCTGGAAGTACAGCTGCACTACTTTGTACCTCATCTTTAGAGTACCTGTTACAAAGAACTCAAGTGGTCACTACTGGTCCAGACTATGAATTTGAGAAAACTTGTTACAGAAAATCAAAGTTCAGAAATAGAGGTTGGTTTGTTTTCTTTTGGGGTGGGTTGTGGTGTTGTGGTTTTTTTTTTTCGGGGGGTGGGGGT